ACGGATGTCTTGGGGAGGGGTAAGTGGGTCCGGTTAGGGGCCGTGCCTGGTTCTGGCATTTGTCCTGTGTGGTCCTTTGGGGAATATTGCGCCTTGCGGCCTTCTACTGCACTGCCCCTCCGTGTACATAGGGATGGGAGTTTCCTGTCGCATTTTCAGTTTATTAGAGTGTTTCGTTTGGGGCTGGAAGCCATGGGTTTGGATGGCAAGGAGTTCGGGGGCCACTCGTTCCGTATTGGGGCGGCTACTGAGGCCTCTAGGCTTGGCATGCCTGCGCAGGTGGTTCAGAGGATTGGTAGGTGGGAATCAAGACGTTATGTTTCCTATGTTCGGCCGGATGGTTTACTGTCGTAATTTCTTTCCACAGTTTCGGTTCCCCCCAGGATTTGGATCATCGGGCACTCTTATGTTTACTGGGCTGGGCAGCGTGCGGCGGTACGGCCTGGAGGCGAGCGGTTGGGTTTCACGCCTTCCGTAGCAGAGGTTCGATGGCTCGGTGCGAGGGGTATGCGGTGGGTTCGGCTCCTCCCTGAGTTGGTGCAGCTTTCTCACCTACTAGGGGTACCGAGTGTCCTGGTGATCCACTTAGGGGGGAACGATTTGGGTTCAGTGCCCGTCTGGGATTTGATTTCGGTGGTGAAGCGGGACTTAGCCCGCATTCTAGTCCTATTCCCCAACGTGCGCTTGGTCTGGTCAGAAGTCATTGCCCGTAACTATTGGCGTGGCGCTAGGAGGCAGAGTGCCGTGGAACGGTGCAGGCGCAAGTTTAACAGGCGGGTTTCCCAGTTTGTTTTGGGGGTTCGGGGGATTCCTTTTTGAGCGTGAGGCGGTCGCCTTTTTTCGAAGGGATGGTGTGCACCTAACGGAGGTCGGGCTCGACCTTTTTAATCTCGCCCTACAGGAGGCAGTGGAACAGGCCATGGAGGGTTTTGGTGGGGTTCCCCGCTGATTTAGGGGTAAATCAACGGGTCTGTTGGCGGGGGTATGTCCTTGCCAATTAAGTTTGAAGGGTTATGTTTAAGGATGGAATAAGTTCATTATGTTTGCAGGTCTCAACCTCCCCTGCTTCAAACGGTTAACATTAGGTTGCCTGAGGTGTCGTGCCCATTGAGCGTGGATAAGGTTGGCTGATGGCGGCAGTGGCATACATACCAGGGTCGCAGGGGTTACCACAGGGCCAGCCTCTTCTCCAGGGGGCCCAGGAAACGACCACCCCAGGGCCTTCCGGGTGTCAGCAGCACCACTGGACCCCAGGGAATCCCCCCAGCACTCCAAAAGGTAAGGAGGCTGGGGGGATTCAATTTTTTTTTTTTTAAACATGTGTTAGAGTGTGTGTGAGTGTTAGAGTGTTAGTGTTAGAGTGAGTGTTAGAGTGTGTGTGAGTGTTAGAGTGTGTGTGAGTGTTAGAGTGTGAGTGAGTGTTAAAGTGTTAGTGTTAGAGTGAGTGTGAGTGTTAGAGTGAGTGTGAGTGTTAGAGTGTGAGTGAGTGTTAGAGTGTGTGTGAGTGTTAGAGTGTGAGTGAGTGTTAGAGTGTTAGTGTTAGAGTGAGAGTGTGAGTGTTAGAGTGAGTGTGAGTGTTAGTGTGAGTGAGTGTTAGAGTGTGAGTGAGTGTTAGAGTGTGTGAGTGTTAGAGTGAGTGTTAGAGTGTTAGTGTTAGAGTGTGTGAGTGTTAGGAGTGTTAGAGTGAGTGTTAGAGGGGTGTGCGGAGCAAGCTAGGAGCGTGAGCGGGGAGTGAGTGTTAGGAGTGAGTGTGAGGTTAGGAGTGTGAGTGGAAAGTGTTAGAGTGTGAGGAGTGTTAGAGTGTGTGAGGTTAGGAGTGAGTGTTAGAGTGTGTGTGAGTGTTAGAGGTTAGTGTTAGGAGTGAGTGTTGAGGAGTGTGTGCGGAGTGTTAGGAGTGTGAGTGAGCAGCAGGAGCAAGTTAGCAGCTAGGAGTGAGTGTGAGTAAGCTAGAGGAGTGTTAGTGTGAGTGAGCAAGTTAGAGGTGAGTGAGTGAGTGTTAGAGTGTGTGCGAGTGTTGGGGAGGAGGTTAGGAGGTTAGTGTGTGCTTAGAGTGTGTGCGGGAGTGTTAGATAGTTAGTGTTAGAGTGGAGTGTTAGAGCGTGTGCGGAGCAGCCAGGAGCGTGAGTGAGAGTGTTGGGGAGTGGAGTGTGAGTGTTAGAGTGTGAGGAGTGCTTGGGGAGCGTGAGTGGGAGCAAGCTGGGAGGAGTGAGTGTTACAGCTGAGCAAGTGTTATTAGATGTTAGTGTTAGAGTGTGTGTGAGTGTTAGAGTGTTAGTGTTAGAGTGAGTGTTAGAGTGTGTGTGAGTGTTAGAGTGTGAGTGAGTGAGTGAGTGTTAGAGTGAGTGTGAGTGTTAGAGTGTGAGTGAGTGTTAGAGTGTTAGTGTTAGAGTGAGTGTTAGTGTTAGAGTGTGAGTGTTAGAGTGTGTGTTAGTGTTAGAGTGTGAGTGTTAGAGTGTGAGTGAGTGTTAGAGTGTTAGTGTTAGAGTGAGTGTTAGAGTGTTAGTGTTAGAGTGTTAGTGTTAGAGTGTGAGTGTTAGAGTGTGTGTGAGTGTTAGAGTGAGTGTTAGAGTGTTAGTGTTAGAGTGTGTGTTAGTGTTAGAGTGAGTGTTAGTGTGTGTGTCTGCTAGTGAGTGTTAGTGTGTGTGAGTGTTAGAGTGAGTGTGAGTGTTAGTGTGTGTGTCTGCTAGTGAGTGTCAGTGAGTGTGTTAGTGAGTCTGTTTGATGTCTGTGTTACAGACTGACATTTGTAACTGTTATTATATTTGACAAATTGCCCTGCTTCCCTGTGTTATGGAGAAGCCTAATTGCCAGCCTTCTACCCCATGACTATGGACCTAGTGTGTATGGCGATTTGACTGTATTTGTGGGATCTGAGCGCTGTTTGGATATATTGAGCACTCAGATCCAAGCCATCTGGGGATAGGTTGAATGTGGGGGTTCTGTTCAGTATGATAGGAGTTAGGTATTTATGTGTCTTTTTGTGTCTTTTGCTAACATGTGGTTAATGGAGTCTGCCTCTATCCCTGGATATAAGTGGATTATTTTTCCCATTGTCTCCTGGATAGAGGGCTCTGTAAAACCGGTTTGGGCCAGATAACCATGCTGCCAGCCAGGCCCCAAAAGATACTTTTGCTAACTTTTGAACCCCTTGTCTGATTTGTGCCATTTAATATGTTGCTCCCCTGAATGGATTGATTCTAAATATGTAATTTTTATGAAGATTGGATGTGTAGTTTTAAAGTTATAGTACATGTATAAAAACTGTATTTTTACTGCCTGTGTTTAATTATGTTAACCCATTGTGTGCCATAATTAGATCACAGGCAGAGGGGAGGATTTTTGTGTGTAATTGCTGGGAGTGTTTCTGTAATGTACGCTTATGATTGGTTATTCTGTAAACCCCTGTGGGTGGTCCTATCTCAGGGAAACCTGCCTAAAAGAAGGCCCTTTGGTGCCAAGTAAACAGATCTTCTTGACCCTCAATACGTAGCCTTGTCTCGTTATTGGAGGGAACTGCTACCTCACACTGGGGATTGCTATGCTCTGCATACTCCCCATAGCTTTTAATCACTTAGCTCTTTTAAGAGCTGTTCCTGTTACGCTCTCCTGGAGGAGAGGTCTTCCCCACACGGTCCTGGAGGACAGAAGCTGATCCAGGGTGGAAGGAAGACGGCGAGACTCCAGTTAAGCTACAGCGGTTGTGGAGTCTGAGGTGGTTGTGGTGTCTGCTGCAGTGTTTGGAGTCCTCAGGAGGCGCTAGGAGAATCCATCAATGGAGGGTACTCGGTCGGAGTACAGGGAGCTCCGTTACAGTCTGTTGGTGAGTTTGTGTTTGTCAATGAGAGTGTATGTTTTGTAAGTGAGTGTGTATGTATGTCTGTCGCTGAGTGTGTCTCTGTCAGTAAATGTGTGTGTCTGTTAGCTAGTGTGTATGC